ATTATGGTATTTTGGGGTCTATGTGGCGTTTCCCCTGATTTGGGAAACTGCCACTCATCGTATGGTAAAATAGCCTCGACACCTTATTCTCATCATAGAGGCCCCGTACATGTAAGCCCAAAGCAAATCTAGGCTTTGATGTCCTTCTACGAGCTCTACTCCACGGCCACGCCGCTTCTGCTGCCCTCCGCGGAGTGGATGTACCGTCTGCCAGCGGGCTCTTATTTGCGGGGCTTTGGGTTTCAGCGCGAGGTGTAGGGCACAGCGTTCAGGGGAAATGATTCGTGTGCAGAGGCCTCAGTGTTCAAGTCTCTTGAAGTCTTGTTTCCAACGATATAGAGTTCTCTTTCTTGTCTTCCTCAACTAGCTGAGTTCCACTGTATGCCTGCCTATAATCACTAGCTGACTATCAGCCACCTTGGCGCCAGCATGCCCTGCCTCCCCTCTTGGCCAGGATGTGCAGGATGAGCTGGCCCCACTCACAAGTAGTGGTAGCACCAAATATACATATATATATATATTTGCGCTCCAAGAAATGTCGTGGTTAGTATTGGTGGGTTCTGGTCATTAATCGCTACTGTGGACATTTTAGCCGATCTCCAACAGTGGGCCCTGTTTGAGGTGAATTAGAATAGTAGCAACAAAGATAATTGTAATAGTAGGAATAACAGTAGTAAGAGCAGTAGTAATAACAGTAGTAAGCTCACACACTGTTTCAGGTGTGGTGATTTGCTTTTGAGGTTTTTGCTTGTGAGGTTGAATCCTTGTGCGTTCAGTTGCTCTGTTTGTTCTTTCTGGCCCGCCACTTTGGGTCGGTGTAGGTAGACGCAAAGGTGTGTTTGTTCAAAATTGCCCTTGTGTATAATCCCAAATAAGGACCACCATTCTCCCCCTGTAATGCCTATGTAATCGCTGGGGCCCTTTGGGGCCCCTTGGGAACCCATCGCGCACAACTACCCTGCAGAAATCCACCTTCTGAGCATCAGGGTCCATATAGTGGCTCCCAATAGTAAGAATGGTAGTATTCTAGAGATTCTAGCGTCTATATTGGGTTGCTCCTATTGATGGAAAATGCCATACAAAATATTTGTTCCAACATAAAGAAGATAGGGGGGAGGGGGTGGGCGTCAAAGCTCTCAACTCCGCACGTTTCAGGGTGTAGGATCACAAGCTCGCAAGATCTAAGCCCGCAAGCCTACAGCCAAAGTCTCAGACCCCAAGCCCTGAGCACGAAGCCGTTGGCCCCAAACTCTAGGCCTAGACCCGAACTGTATTTGCAATTGGGGTACTCTACCATTTGTCAACATAGAATAGGATTGTATTCTCTCTGTGGCAGCGAAAAAATCTTCATTCCAAACGCTCCCACGTCCATTCGATTTCATAGCAGGTTCTCGTCTTCAGAGATTATCTAAGGGGGGATATTGAATAATGGGCGGAGGTAATCCAAATTTCGTTATACAATCTTTTAGCTTCCATTGGACAACTCTTCATTGCGTTTCAGTGTTAGCATCGCGGCCGTGATTTTCATTCATGTTTTAAATTGCGCCCTCTTAGATCCCCAAACTTACACAAGCCCTAAACCATAAACCCCAAACCATAAGACTTAATCCCCAAGCCCTAAACTCCCAACCCTAAACCTAAACGCTAAACCCTAAATAGTAGTTGCCATTTTCCATTATCCCTATATTGCTCGATATTGAAACCCAGCACTAGAACCTACACCCTACTCAACTTGAGGCTCTACATGCGGGGTCAGTTGTCCGTAGGCGAGCGCACCATGGCTGGACTAATAAAGACTTTTGTGGCACTATGCCACTATGCGGTTTCCAAGAAGTCGGGGAGGGGGGGGGGGGCGCCTTCACAGGGGATACGATTTAAGGTTTAGGGTTTTGGGTTTTGGCGGGAGTTGTCCGTTTGAAGCAATAGGGGTTGTGTAGGGGTGTATGGGATACATTATATATATGCTACCCCCCGGGGCATTATTTTGGCATGCTTGAGGGTTACTGATAGATGAAAACATGAAAAGGATGCTGTAAATTGTTGAGCAGTAGTATATATACATATATACATACATGGATATGTAGGGTCTAGGGCTTCCAAAAATCCTCAGCATTATGTGTCGCCCCAAGTATAATTCATGCCTGCCTGCCCACCCCCGCATAAAGCATTCCCGAGGACCATACCATATTCCCATATTGGGGAGTATGCAAGGGTCGTAGGCGGGGTGTTTCATGATACTGGGAATTGGTCAGAGGTAGTAAGTTCATGGTTGTACAGCTATGAATTTCGGGTTTGGACTTGAGGCGAGGATCTTCCCAAGAAGCTGCTATGTTCTCCTGCTTCCCTCTTTGGAGATGCGAGGCTAAGCACTTTATGGCTCGAGGTTCTGCGCTAAGGGTCCACGCATCAGTGTTTAGGTCTTCTACTTGGAGTCCAGTCTTCAAGTTACAATGATAAGGAAGTCCTATTATTTTACAGTTAGGTTAGGAATAACCTGAAACTCCAAGTACAGCCTGTGGCAGCTGCTAATTAGCATCCCAGGACCCATGATATAAGCTTGGAAGAAAACATTCCTAAACCCTAAAGTTTAGTGTTTAGGGTTTGTGCTAAGCAGCAGCTATGGCATTGAATGCCCACCTTATGCCCAACGCAACTCCTGATCATCCCCCCATAGTCCCCCGTACAGTGCACCCCTGCTTTCTGTAAGGGAACCCTGTTCCAAGAAAATCCCCCCAATTTCACATGTATTCGCGCTATAGTCTAAACTTCTAGTATCCCCCCTAATAACCCCTAGAATACTCCCCTATGTAATCCTGTGCATATATAACCGCTTTTCAAGAGTTAAGATTACAAACGCTCAACCCTATAACCTTCTTTAAGTGGACTATAATCCTGTATATAACCCCCTCTAAGGAGTTTAGACCACAGCTCATTTGAGATCTTCTGAGGTTGGTATCAGTCCATCATGCCTGGGCATGAGCCCCCTTTCTGTGAGTTTGAGGACAGGGTCGCGAGGCTACTGAGAGGTTCCCAAATATCTGTACTATAGGAGGCAGGGACATATAGGGGGAACTGAAAGGAAAATGGGCGCTACTATTTAGGGTTTAGGGGTTAGGTCTCTTACCCCAGTCATGGAGGATCAAACGGATGCCACAGAGAGGTTCCCAGAATAGGTGAATATATGAGGAATGGGTATATAGGGGGAATAGAGAAGGAAAATGGAAGCTACTATGTAGCAAGGATTTGCTGGAAGAGCTGAGGGGGTCAGTACTGACATGTGCTGGTTTGTACTGGAAGTTCCCTGAAAATATTCCTTAATTTCGGTTATCTCTATTTCTAATAACCAGCTGAACTTATGATTTCTACTCAAACCCTAAACCCTACACCGCGGGGGTCCAGGGAACTTGACTTGGAGTGTGGGGGTTGGGTACTCGGTGATCTCAGATTTCTTGTGTGCTCTGCCCAGTTGTCGGCCTGGAAGCTTGCCACGAGTGCGAGTTGTGGGTTTAGGGTTTAGGGTTTAGGGAGATTGAATGATGGAGGCACAAAAGAGAGTCCTCGTGCAACGTGGTTTAGGGTTTAGGGCTTACCCGAGTCATGGAGAATCAAGCGGACAATGAAATTGGAAACTGGGGTTACATGGGCGTTTTACATACAAATCTTATGGTTCTAGTTTCCTTTCATGATTATGGTACGTTTGATGCTTGGAATAGACTTCAAAGTGGTAACGATGATTGTCGAGGCCCGTCTATCCCATCCCCATGGGCCCTCTCGTTTGTGTTCCTACATCCCATAATCCTTATAGATCCCCGCATGAATTCAGTTTCCGCTTCTTTTTGCATGTTGTTTTTCAGTTTTTCTCCAGTAAACCCTAAACCCTGAAGATGTATTTAGGCCTCAAGATAAACTTAATTCTTAAAGTGGCTGCAAGGTTAGCAGAGTTCAGGGTTAAGGGGGTCACGCATATGAGTTCCCAGTGCCTGTTTTCTCTCAGGCGTGCTTAGTCGGGAACGGGTTAAGGGATCTATATAGCAGTCCCCAGAAGACTCCCATAACAGGGGGCTTTTTATAGATAGGGGGCGGCAACATTGACGATCAAATTCTATAACCCTTGATACAGGGACTCCCAGAAACGTGCCCCCAGCTGTTGAAAACCGTCACACTTATAATCTACGTGTAGAAAGCGGTAGAGACTGCGCCCTGGAGGATGCTGGCGAGGAGAAGAAGGCTGAACGGGGCCAAGTTTTTTCAGGGTGGGGAATGCGCACATAGGATCCAGCCCAGTACATCCTCGCATGCTTACCTGCGGATTTGCAGCATGAAGTTAAGCTCAATGAAGCAACAGAAACCGAGCACCGGATTTTGCAGAGCCTTAGTCGTGAATGGTCCCTTGGTTGTGTTTCTGCACATGCGTGGTGATGGACGGCGTTGGTGCTTTGTGACATGCATTGAGCTTAGCGTGTACGCTGCAGGGTTACCATCAGTCCCCAGCAGGTCATATGGAGGTTCAATCTATTTGCCTGAAATCCACCGGGAGGGTGAGCAGGCCATGGGTTCCCCTATGAAGCCACTCTACCCGTAAACCTTACAGTAAGCTCTCAAGCCTAGACCCTGGACCGTAGCAGAATCTCACACCCCGTTTTCCTGGCAAAACAGCAGGCCTCCTTGAAGCTTTCACGAACAACCGAGTTTGGTCAGAAAGTGTTGACAAATTGTTGGGAAATGTGGGGAGGTCCTCATACTCGCTCCGAGGCCCATTAAGCCTGAACCCCAAACTCTAAACTCTGAGCCGTTAGCCTAAAAATCTAGCTCCCAAACTCAAATCCTAAACCTTACACCTGAACTGTCAAGGCTAAGCCCAAACTCTACTTCTCGAACATCTTGACCCTATATAGCCTATGCCATTCCATATATATATATATAAATACATACATGGTCGTTTCCAGACGTACCGTGCCTGCTTGAGTGCGATGCCCTAAACCCTAAACCTCTCTTTACAGGCTGGGACGCCGGATCCCGCCTGGGGCGTCTCCGCCGCCAAAGCTGCCCGGATTGCTGCGGCGCCTTGGGGCTTCGGGGTTAGGGTCTAAGGTTTAGGGGCTTAGTTTAGGGGTTTAGAGTTTAGGTTTTAATTAGGATTTCGGGTTTAGGGGTTTAGATTAGGGTTTAGGGTTTAGGGTTTAGGATGTAGGGGTTTAGGGTTTAGGGGTGCAGGCAGGATTTGGGGTTTGGGGAATGGGATTTGGGGTTTAGGGACTTGGTTTTGGGTTTAGAGGTTTTGGGGTTTAGGATGGTTTAGGATGGTTTAGGGGTTTAGAGTTTAGGGTTTAGGGGTTTAGGGTTCAGGGATTAAGATTCAGGGATTACTTAGAGGGTCAGGGGGCTTCGTAAGTATGTTTATAGCCCGTATATATGGTCCCAGTTATCCCCATTATTAAGCCGCTTACTAAGTCCACCTGGCCCTCCACATAACGTAGGGCTTGGGGTTTCAAATCTAGGGGCTAGAGGAGGAACTCTTGGAACATTGTAGTTATGGGGGGTAATGCCTAAACCCTAAACCCTAAACCTCAAACCCTAAGCCCTTAAACCCTAAACGGGTACTACACCTGGATACATAGGGGCCCTCCGTAGAGCCCTTGATTGGAAGGTCTTCAGGCTTTGGTACTGTCATGCTGCGAGATATAAGGTACTTCGGAGTAGATATAGAGGGTTATATAGATATTTAGGGATATTCATAGGCATGAATAGAGTTCCATAGGGATCCCTAGGGACATATACGCATGTATGGAGGGTGTTCTTCTTCTTGGCTGTCCAGTACTTCCTTACGTAAGGGCCCATTCAAAGGGGCAGATAAGGGGAGAGGCAGCGAGAGAGAGAGAGAGATATGCATACATGTATTTTTGTGTATAGGGATATGCAGAAACGTATGGGCTTAAAGGGTTTTGGTTTTTTCCCTAATTCCGAGTGTTTTTCTGTCCCCATCAAGCGAACTTTGCTATTTTGGGGGTCTATATTAGTGCTCCCTACCTTTGGACACCCTCTGTTATCCATTCGCCCATTCCCAACTAAGCGAAAGAGTGAGGAAGAAGCGCTTAGCAGTTCTCATATTTGCAACCCCATATGAGCTACAAGTCAATCAACTTTCCTTACAATGCCTGGAAATGGTATGGGCTATTACGAGGGCTTTAGTGCTTGTTGGGCAAGATTATTTTCTTGTGGGGCGGTGTTGTTGGTGCTCATCACTCTCGGTTGGCTTGTCAGTTCTGTTTGGAACTTTTCAAGTTGAGTTGCGAGTGCTGGTGAGGGGGGTGGTAATGGTTGAGTTTTAGAAGGCTAGGGATTCTAGGCAGACTTTCTAAGTTAAACCATGGATTCCGAAATAGGTGCAGGAGTGTATCCACATCCAACTTGACGAGACTTTAGTAGTTTCTATTTTCTTTTCCATCATCCCGCAATATCCCCAATATAAACCCCCACATATATATATATATAATCCCTATAGTTTCCATCTCTCTTCCATTATCCCAATACATATTTGAATATATATATATATATACTTACTTCTCTCCGCTCTTCCTGGCATAGTGTTCTATGGCTATCCTCATGCTTCCCGCACGAAGCTGCTTCCCATAACCCTTAAACGGCCCCAAACCCTAAAACGAGGCTTATACGGCAGTTTCCAAAGTCGGGATTTTCCTTATATGCCCCCGAAGGTAATATCCTAAGCCCTAAGCCCTAAACCCTACCACTATGGGCTATTAGACCTTAGGGGTACCTTAAAATCTACCCTTAATAGGGTCCTAATAGGGAATTTCAGGGTCTAATAGCCCATGGTGGTAAACGCTAATATAGGCAACGCAAGCACCAGCCAAGGTGCAGACGCTGAAGCGGATTGTGACGGCTACAGACCTGGAGACCGCCAAGAGCATGGCGGAAGCAACTCTGGGACCGCTTTTCTTACTGGTGGGTTTAGGGTTTAGGGTTTAGGGTTCAGGGTTTAGGGTTCAGGGTTTAGGGTTTACGGTTTAGGGTTTGTGGGAAATAAGGGAATATCATCAGTATACATTTCCTGTACAATATATTCCCGTAGTCTCTACTAAATCCCAGAAAGTTTTTGGGGCTTGTCAGGTTTGATGCCTTGGAGTTTAGGATGGCTCAGGGTATGATGGGGTGAGCCTTTGGGAGGACTGGAGGACCCCAAACCTAAACTGCTTTTAGAGAGGGTTTCCCAGAATATGGGATACCTTTTGGGTGGTCCCTTTAATAAGGATTATAATTTGGGGCCTTTATTGGGTTTTCCCCATTCAGAGCAATTACCAGACAGCCGGAGATGGGTTTCGAAGGTAGGTGGTCTCCCAGGCTCGAGGCTTGGGTTTTGTGGGTCAGAATGCGGGGTTTTCCATAAATTAGGGATACCTTTCAGGGGGGGGGTTCCCAGTAATAAAGATAATAGTAACTTGGGGTTTATATTGGGTCGCCTTATTTATGGAAACTACCATATCAGGTTGGGCTCTTGGTTACGTATGTTTAGCTCCCTTATATAGGTTCTTGAGGAGTTGAGGCTTGGGATAACATAGGGTTGGTGCGCTTTCTGCGCGTCACCTGAGGCAACAAAACAATAACGAGCCAAAACGGCGTGGGCCAATTTTCTTCGGAGTCTGCCGCAAAACGGCCCCAGAGTTCATGGAAAAGCGTTGCAGTCTTAAACATGGTCCCCCTCTCTATAACTGAATCTCTCGGATGAGCCCCGGGACCGCATGACCCGAAAGCCCAACTAGGCCTTACATCCAGGATGCAAGTTTTATTTGCTTCGCACGGAACAACTATCAAGCATCCTTGTAATTTCCCTGCAATCCCTATATCTCCCTCTAGGTTCCCAAGGCCTCCCATGTTATTAAGAAATCCCATATGCTCTGCATAGGACTGATGGAGGACCAGCAGCCCGTCTTCTCTTCTAAGCGTGAAGTATGTTTGGGGATGCGCGGAGAGAGGGAAGTAGCAGGATAGGGCTCTTAGACCTCATAAGCTCCCTGATCTATTCTTCTTAGGGGGATATAGGGTTTCAGGTGTTTAGGGTTTAAGGGTTTAGGAGTTTTGGGGTTTAGGGGTCAGGGTTTAAGCGTGTAGGGTTCAGGGGTTTGGGGTTTAGGGTTTAGGGATACAGTTCCAGATTCAAAAGGGTTTAGGGTTCAAGGGTGTATGGGGTTGGGTCTCTGAAGACGGAATAAAAGGATCCCGGCAGCTCATCCTGGGGGGCGAGGGCAGGGAGGGGTGAAGGGCTTTATATAGGGGTTGTATAGGCGGCTATATTGGGATAATGGAAAACAAAATGGAAACTACGCACTACATTATAATGTGGTATATATTGGGGTTATATAGGGGGTTATATTGGGATAATGGAAAATGACATGGAATATTGGGGTTATATAGGGGGTTACATTGGGCTAATGCAGAATAACATGGAAACTACGGTATTATCATGGGGTATATATTGGGGTGACATAAAGGGCTATCTTGGGATGATGGAAAATAAAATTGAAACTACTATTCAGGGTTTTAGGGTTTAGGGCCCTGAATTTCTAAAGCATTCCCATTATGTGGTACTTTTATTTTAGCATAGTGGGGGAGGGCGGACGTTTGGCTTACTTGCTCAGGGTCAGCTTTCGGGTTGAGAATGTTGAGCTCGGGGGTACAGGAGATGATGTAGAACTTGGGCTCTTATGTTACATGCGTGCATTCCCCTTTTTTGTAGTAGCTCCCAGTAAGGAATAGGTGCAATAATAAATGCTGTACGTAAGTATAGCAGGATGAAAGCACATGTGTTGAGTCTCGATGCATAATCCCTGCGCAGTATTAGACACACACGGTAAGGAAAGATTTGCTTGAGAACAAAGCTCGCGTGGACAAGGGGCTGCCCAGACTAAGCAATGTGCGTAGCAATATGGCTTGCTAGTAAGGAAGTTCTTCTTGGCCGTCGCCGCCAATGAGACGGACAAGGACAGTGTGGAGCGCAAAGGGCCCACAATCCCGTCATACTAATATGAAACACCCCCTACCCCTAAAGGGTCTATATAGGGGTCTATATAGGGGAATTACAAAAACAAATTGCTAAGAGTGCTTCAAGGGGTCCGGATTCCTTTGTTCTTTATAGTATAGGTCAACCCAAATAGACTTCAAAAGGACATAGTAGCCGCTGAAGAGTCGAAGTCCACCGCTGCTGCTACTGCCGTCGTAGTTGTAGTGGTTGTCATCTTCATTAATCATCAGCTTAAGAGAGGAGTAGTAGTAGAAGAAGAAGAAGAAGGTATGATTATTAGTAGTGCTACTACTGCTACTACTGCTGCTATCAGTTCTAACAGCCTTTGCAGCACTAGTTTCCCTACCAGGATAAGGACTGGTACTAGAAGTGGCAACCAGCCCGTAGCCACCAGAACCAGGACTCCGCTACTTCCATGGGCGTGGTGCGGAGAAAGGAGACTTTTCCTGACACTGTAGCTGGGGGTTGAAACTGCAACGGGCAAGGGGAGCCAAGGAGCATTCCGGGATTATAGAGCACGCTTGAGAACTGTAGTGGTCGGGTATTCTGAGAAAACCCAGCATTTGCTGTATAGTCATCCCCGAGTAGATAGAATATGGCCTTGGGCATATTATAATAAGATCCCCATATACCCCTTATTCTACTGTTGTAGGTGGGTTTTGGCGACGTATGGCACGTACGTACATACTTGGAGCTCCCTACAGGCCGGCCTTCTTGGAAATATAGTCCCCCTTGAGTAGATAGAATATAGGATAATGGAAAAGAAAATTAGTGTCTAGGATCTAATTAGGGCTTAGGATATAGTTCCCCTTACGTAAGTAGGTAGAATATGGGGTATATGGGGATCTTATCATAACATACCCGAAGCCATATTCTATCTACTTAAGAGGGACTATACACCCTAGAGATCCCCGAAGTGGAATTTTCTTTGCATGTGCGGACTTAGCCTCAAAGACACAGGTCTGCGGCCCAAAAGTTCAGAATCCGGGTTTAAAGCCCAATTCATGGTGACTACGCGGGGAGCATGTGGGACTGTAACAAGATTTCTGATAGCCGATAGCCACCGGAACGATAGTTGGTTCTGATAGGGATCGTTGGCTCTCACTTGCGCAGACGAGGGCAGGCGTGGGAAGGTTCAAGTGTTGTAATGGATTTTTAAAGCAGGATGGGTTATTAGACTTTACAAGCCCATCATTGTAAAAAGAGCATTTTGGTATCCCCGACCTCAATATTAGGATCCTAGGATAGTCACATGATAGTTGTAGAGTCCTAGTTTTGGGGGCGCTAGCATACCAGAATCTTTTTGCCACATAATACATATCGCGAAGTATCCCCAGTTTCCACGCCCTTTTGTATTTCATGCTGCATGATTCGAATTGAAAAGCCGTAAACCCTGCATATCCTCGTATTGGGGGTCTTCATCGGGAATTACAAGGGCCCTTCCATGGAGGACACCTCAGATGAGCCTGTGACCTTCCAGCGCACTGGAGGCCCAACAGTGGGTTTAAGAAGGGGATTGGGGGTTTAAATGTGGTCTGGGGGTTTGGGTTTAGGCTTCAGGCTTTAGTTATTTAGAGGGATAGGCCTTATTGTTTAAAGCACATTTGCTGGGGTGATGGTGTTTATGGCTTTTGGTGTCTTGGGTTCAGTTGGTGTTCTGTTCCTAGAGGAGTCTTGAACCCAACTCATTGCTTTTCCATGCTGGAGGTGTGTATAGGGGGAAAGGAACAGTGATATTGACATGGTGCTATTAGGCTTAGTGGGTATGGGGAGCTGAGGATTTGGGAGCTGGCGGTTTAGTTTTCCGCCGGCACAACATGAAGGTTATGAGAAAGGCTCAAACAAGAACCTGCTGACACTGTGCATGAGCACATAACCATCTGGATTGCTTTTAGCGAACTTACATGGAGATCCTATGTTAAGGAAATCCTATGTTTTCTATAACCAATATTATGGTTACTTGAATTACGTTCCTTAACAGCAACCCAGTCATACCTGATGGCATGCGCAAGCACAGGAGGTTTTTCGTGATTGTGTACACTGACACAGCGGTGAAGAACCTAGGTTTACTACTGCGGTCAAGGGGTTTAGGGCTTAGGGGTTATGGAAGGAGCAAATATTGCGTTATTCCTAGGAGTTGGAGAACTTGAAGTGGCCTGAGCCCTCTACAACTCCCATATAACTCCTGAATCATCTCTGCCCTGAATAACCCTTTGAATTATAGGCTTGGCTCGGCTCTTTCAGATGCAATCTTGCGGGATTTGTGTTCTCCGTGGGGGCAAGTTAATATGGGGGCGGGGTATTGTCAGGGGAAGGGATTATTCAATTTTGGTGTGCCTGAGGTTATTTAGATATAGGGCCATGGGATGAATCGGTGGTGTTGCCTTTGACATAGGAAGGGCAGCTCTATTCCTGAACACAGCCCAAACCCTACACTTCTGTACTCAGTACGGAATCTGTGCATGGACCCGTAGAAGTCTTCGACTCGACCCTGAATCCTAAACACTAAAGCCTAAATTGCTCTTTGCAGCTAGTTGCTGAGATCCATGTTCTTCATTCTCAGAGCCAACGACCTACCTCTATATAAGAACCTTGAATGACCCACCCTGAATCCTACTTGGAGGCGTCTTGGAGGACGAAGATAACTTCAGATGCTACATTTCTGATAGAGGGTCTAAGTATACTTACTGAGACTTGCTAGGTTGCCCTGACCCTCAACCCTAAACCCTATTAAACCTTTAATGTCCCAGACAGGAGAGAAGTCCTGGCACCCCTACACGCCCTTCCAGATGTCCAACCGTGACTCCAACGACTGGACCCGCATGCGCAAGGGAGGCGGATCATGGTTAAATTAGATCCCACCGGATGCCCCCGATCTCAAAAAAGCTGCAGTTAAGGGTTTTGGATTCTGAAAAGGGGGGTCCCGATTTAGTTTTAGGGGTCCCTCGGTCATATTAGGCTTCCATGATAGTAAGGTGTCCAGTATCCCCAGAGATCCGTTGGAGCTTGCTGTTGCTCACTGACCAAGCTTTACGGTATGTGGTTCAAGTTTGTGGGGGAGGGGGGCGGGGGGGGGCATGCCTTCCTCGAAGATTTAGTTGTCATACAAGGGAACCTGTTCATCTACCCAAGCTTTTGGAGGGAGCTAAGGAGCTAGAGATAGTCTATGTCAATATAATACGGGAGCTAAAGAGCCCAGGAATCTTCAAAACCATAGGGGAGTTGTAAACAGTTTTTGGTGGCTTTCAAAGTAAAACCCAGATGCTGCATTGCATGGGGTTGAGAATTCAAGGCTTTTGGCGAAAGAGGCATCTACAGAGAATGGAAACGAGGAGTAGAGGAGGAATGGTCCCAATAGTAGTCCGAAAGCCCTATAGTAGTCCTCTTCTTTCATTCCCGGATTCCCCACAAAGCACTGGTAAGTCAGGTTTCAGCTGGGGAAATAGTTGTCTGGGGCCTAGGCATCTTTGGACGCTGTAGCATGTGTTGAACGATCTTGTGGCAAAATTCTGTACTGCCTGAATCCTGAGCGTTTAGCCTACCAACCCTACAGCTAAACCTTAAACTTCGAACCCAAGCCCCTTCCCATTGAAACTTGTTTTAGCCCCTACTCTGCCTTTCTGAGCTTACCTATAACCCTCCGCTTCCCTCTCATCACCCCAAACCCCAACCTCAAGCTCCAGGCACTCAACCCTATAGTCCGCCTTAAGTAGATAGAATATGGGGTCTATGGGGATCTTACAATAATATACCCAAAGCCATCTACTTAAGGGGGGCTATAAGCCCTCAAGCCCTTGAACCTTAAGCTTCCTAAACCCTAAGCCCCAAACCTTAACCCTAAGCCCCAAAGCACCCTTTCTGTCCGGAGGCTGGTGGCTAAGAAGCTGGGTTGCAGTTGAGGAATTATGGATTAGGGTTCAGGATTTAGGGTTTAGGGTTTAGGGATAATTCCCAATATGGATAATGAAGGATACAATGGAAACTACTATTTAGGGTTTAGGGCTTAGGGCTTAGGATTTCAGAGACAAGGAAGCCATAGTACTTATTGTATGCCAGTACTATTGTGGCTTAATTTAAGGTTCTGAGATGCCTATAGAACGTGACCCACCTAAAACCTCAGTTTCCATTTCAGTTTCTTTGTTTTGGTCTTTGGTTCCATATAACTTGGCCGTACACCCCTTAAAGCCCTTATATATCACCCTTATATAGCCCTTGTAACCCCTTGAAAGCGAGCCCCTTCTCATGACTTCGTTTAGAAGCAACCCAGGAAGGGGTCCCCGATTCGATGCCATGCGCTACTGGCACCAATTCTCGGACTTCGCGCGGCGCTGAGAAATTGGGGCTAAAGGACTTGGTGAAGATTGGAGATGAACGTATGAGTGATTCCTTGTTATGGCTGGTATGTAAAATCTTCCTTGTACCGCCCTTCAGAGACCCTCACAACCCTAATATTCGTAGGCAGATCTCTTTTGGTTTAGGGGCCTGCACTTAACGAATTGGGCTTATACTGCTGGGGCCTTCTGTGTGATGGCGAACTGATCCCTGAAGGCCATGATAATTTTTATCTATTGTCCGTGCTTGTGAGTTTCAGCTAGCTTCCCCATATTTCTCCTGGGCAGGCTCCCCCTTACTGAGTCTTAATTAGACCTGGTTGTCGTAAAATGACCAAATCACGGGGGAATCTAGGGGTGGTGGTAATGTTTGGGGAGAAGCAGGGGAACCTCAGAGATTTGGGCTCTAGGGCCTCTAGGGTTCTTGGTGTTCAAGGCAGATTTCCACGTACAAGAATAATGCCAAAATTGTCTCCACGTAATCCGGAAACCCGACTGCACCTCAAATACTGATTTAGACTCATACCCTGCAAACCTTAAAAACCGCATGCAAACCCAGGCTCCATTTTATTTTCCATGTTCTTCTCCACTTGGTTCGTCATAATTCTCATTCTTTCGGGCCCTAAAGCACCTGACTTTGATAAAGGGTCTGGTGTCCTGTTGATCCCAGAGCTTGGGGATCAGGGTTGAGGGCGTATCTCCCCAAATTCCTTCTTGCTCGCAGTTGGTTGGGAATGAAGAGTGGAACATAGGAACTCATTGGGGTTAGGTCATTCTGCGCAATAATGCGATGGCGGGACCTTCCGCCTGGAGGTGTTGAGAAGTGGGATGCAGGCGGTCCTGGAGTGTCACCTTCAGGCGACCACGTGTCCTCTGAGCAACATGGACGTTGTCAATGGGCGTGTTCTCTCTTTCGGGATATCCACAACAACAATGCCATGGAGCAGGTGCCACATCTCATCCCGGACTAGGAGATGGAGCAAGTCACTGCTACAGCATGGCGTTGCCTTCGGCCTCCTGGCAGCCATGACAAGATGGCCAGGGACTTCGGTGCGAACGGGCCGAGGTCTCCGCTGCCAGGAACCAGAGCAAGCGGAGGCATGCCGGGACGACGAAGAGGTGGTGCAGGTGCCTTGCCTATTCTACGGCTTCACACGGGATGAACGGGGCACTGAGCGAGTGTCAGTTGTGGAGGTTTCTTCTGGGGAGCGGCTGATGTTCATTGACCGTGGTGAGCCCATCTTAGGTGAGCCGGTTTTGGCTGGAGTGGCCTTGGCCACTTGCTTGTCTTATGCCTTCACCTGGCCGAACACCAACAGCCAGACTTGTGTTCGCAGGTCGGTGGTGGAGCTGGAGGATGGCCAGCGCATGACTTATGAGGATCCAGGTGCCTTTGCCCAGTCTCTCTTCGTCCCGGATTCTCCTCTTTTTCTCGACGACTATGTGGACATTTTTGCTGTTCTCGGCCTTCTTGCGGACTTGCAAGGCTTCCACCCTGACCGTCGTATTGGACTTGTTGGGCTTGGAGCTGGCACAAGTGCCCGACAGCTGCGCCGGCTGTTGCCCAAGATGCGGCTTCTAGCTTTTGAGCGCTCTCAGATGGTTTTGGCAGCCGCAGCTGTAATGGGTGGACCGCTGGAAGATGAGTTGCTTGAGGTGAGGTTGGCAGACATATTCTCCATAAGTGCAGGTCCCAAAGAGCCATTGATGCTGATGGTAGTGGACCTGGCAGTAGACGGCGGCGATTTTGGTGATGGCCAGCTTCCTGAGGAATTGGAGCGCAAAGAAGCTTGGCTAGATCTGCTCAGCTGGCGAGACACAGGTGGGCGGGTCGTGGCCAACCTCGGCTCCCTTAGCCGAGGTCTCAGCCCGAGGGCAGCCACGGTGCTTCGCACATTGCGGGAAGCAGCTGTGGCTGCATCTTTACAGGTGTGGGTCACGCAATACCCAAACGGAGAGGAGGAGGTCCCTGCTGCAGGTGCCCCTGAGACTGACAGTGCTGATGCGAACTTGCTGGCCTTGATGGCTGAAGAGATTCCGGAGCGCGAATGGGATGAGGTACAGCTGGGCCGTTTGCGGAGACCCACGCGCTGGAAACTGTGCAGCAAAAGAGAGGCTGTGCCGTGATCTCACCGCTGAATTTTTCCGATGTGAGATGC